CGGTTCCTTCGGTACCGTACGTACGTTCTACGTTAGTTTTACTTTGTAATATTAAGTAGAACACACTACTACTTCTCTACTACTACTCACACCCAACTACTCACACACACACACACACACACACACACACACACACACACACACACGCCCCTGAGCTCCTTACTTCCTGTGAACCACAATGGCTTTCCTTATCCCACAGAAGAACAAAGCCGTTTTCAGCCTTAGCCTGTACAATCATTGCCAGCCTATTTCCAGGCACTTGTGAGAATCCTTTTCATTACCGCCGACTCCTCTTTCTGCCCTGCCAGTGTGTTGAGGCTTTTCCGTAACCGCCTTTCCCTCTGCCTGCAGCTTGGATGTATGCCCCTCAGACCCCTGTCGCTTTTTCTGCCTCGCTCGCCCCTCTCTCATGCTGCCTTTCATGGCTAAGACTGATCTCTGCCCAGCAGGTTTTGTGATGCTTCCTGCCATGAGTCTTTCATCGCCAGCCTGTCTCGTCTGCGATATGTTAATAGGAGCTCCCTGTGGGAGGATTCGCTCCTTCTCGCCCCTTAGCCCTGGGAAGTTCTTTTCTGGTGCACCAGGACTGCCCAATTTCTGTCAGTATCGGTCCACCGACTTATTTTCTTCTTTGTTGACTTTACCCTCCCTGGGACCAGACTGTCAACTCTGTGAGGACAGGCACCCATCCTGTCATGTTCGAGACCACATCCCTGGTACCTGGGACAGTGCCAAGCACACAGCAGCGGCTCAGAAAATATCTGCAGAATTTGCTAAACCCACCAACCAGACGTCCTTAATTGTTCAAGTCATATCACAACATAAATGCACCTGTGAGGCAAAATATAATGGAGCGGTTCAGAGAGCAGGATGTACAAACTATTGTATATAAAAGAGATGAACAACAAGGTCCTACTGTACAGTTCAAGGCACTATATTATCTTGTCATAACCTATAATGAAAAAGAACATATACATGTATAACTGAATCACTATGCTGCATACCAGAAACTAACACAACATTGCAAATCAACTAGACTTCAATTTACAAAAGAGAGACGGGAGCAGGATGTGAATGCTGGCTCCACAAAAAAAAAAAAAAAGAAAGAAAGAAAATAAACAAATGGGGTTATCAGCAGTACCTACTTCAGGGTTACCGAGAAGAGCAAATGAGTCAATACTTGTAAATCACCTAGAACTGGCTCTGGCGTGAAGCAAACATTCAGTAAATGCTAATGGCAACCGTCATTATTCACCCTACAAAC